GATTCAGACCCTGGGTCTGTGTCTGGAGCCAGACGGGAGTGTCTGGCTCAGCAAGACAGGGTGCGGGAGTCCTGAGCTGGCAGGGAAAGCAGAAGCAGGGGTAGTCTTTGCACATCGGGTGGCAGCTCCCAAGGGGGTTTCTGTGATCCAACCCGTCACAGTGTTTGGGGTGCTGGAGGGGTTCAGGCAGAGGGTTGAGGGTGCAGTGGGGGGTGAAAGCTCTGACTGGGGGTGTAGGCTCTGGGGTGGGGCAGGGCTGGGGATGCGTTTGGGGTGCAGGCAGGCTGCTCCGGGACAGGGGCCAGAGAGGAGGACTCCCCCCAAGACCTTTCTCTGCTGGCAGCAGCAAGCTCTGGGGGAGAAGTCCCCCTTTCCTGCCCCCCCCCCCCAGCAGCACACTCACCCCCACCACTGTCACTGCATGTGCTCCTAGGGTCCCTCTCAGGTCCAGGAATCTCCCTTGCCTCCCCCTTGGTGGGTGCCAGAGGATGCTGCGTGTGCCTCCTCCCCTGTTGTTGCCCCTGACTGTAGCCTCACTGGGGGTGAGGGATGGGGCTGCCTCCTTGCCCAGGAGCGGTGACTGTGGGTGGGGCCGGGGGAAGGGGCTGTGCTGCTGGAGGGTCCCACTGGAAAAAGAAAGGGTTTGAGGGGGAAGGGCAGGCTCAGAGTCAGTCTGCCCTGGCAGTTGAGAGGGGGGCGCTAGGACCCTGCGGCAGCAGTTGCTGCAGGGGAGAGACAGGGACTCTCCGCTCCTTTTTCTTTTTTTAACTCCACCGCTTTCTGCTTCCCCTCCCCCTCCCGGCTTTGTGTGCCCTCACCTCCCCCTTGTTACGGCACTGCTGACAGTGATCAAGTCATACTTTCTATCCCATCCGTGACTAAGGAGGGTATTACCCAGCAGCTACTAAAGTTAAACATTTTTAAGTCGACAGGAGCAGACCACTCACACCCAAGAGTATTAAAATAATTGGCTGAGGACCTCTCTGAGCATTAATGTTGATATTAAAGAACTCTTGGAACACTGGGGGAAGTTGCAGAGGGCTGGCAGAAGAAACATGCCAAAATTTAAATATGATAAATGCTGTGAGTCAAGAAACTATAGGTCAGTTAGACTGTCATCGTTCCAGGGCAAAACCCTGGAAAGACTGAGGCAGGCGCAATCAGTAAAGAACTAGAAGATGGGTGTATAATTACTGCCAGTCCACATGCTTTTGGGGGAAAAGGTCTTGTCAGACACACCTGAGAAAAGGTTTTTGCTGAGCTCACATGTTTTGCTGATCAAGGCAGGAGTGTGACCTTCATACACATGATATTTCTATCACACATAGCCTGACTGCAGTGCTCCACTTTGTACTGCTCTGCCTGCCCTGCCTAAAACCTGCCCCCAGGCAATGCCAATCTCCAGAGGCAGGGGTTGCTGCCCCCGAATGGGGAGGAAGGCAGGCAAGCTGGGAATGGGCGACGGGATGGATCACTTGATGATAACCTGTCTGTTCATTCCCTCTGGGGCACCTGGCACTGGCCACTGTCGGAAGACAGGATACTGGGCTGGATGGACCTTTGGTCTGACCCAGTATGGCCGTTTTTATATTATGTTCTTAGGGACATGGCCCCCTCACCCACTCCCCCCAGCCTGGGGCGCACTGGGGAGCAGGTGCTCTGTCAGAAAGCATGGTGCCACCAGGGCACTCCTCGCAGCACTAGGGGAGGATGGCAGCTTTCCAACCCCCCTCGGGCCAACATCTCCACCTGCACCTGCTCTGGGCTGTGCATAAGGACGCAATTTAGTCATGGATTCCGTGATCGTATCAGACCTCCGTGACTTCGGCTTCCGCTGTCAGCGGCTGAGGCTATGTTAGGCTTTTACTAGAAGCTTCTGTACGGGATCGGGGAACAGATACTGGACACAGTGTTGGTCTATAATACTCTAAATACCTTTTACTGATTACAATATAAACCTCACTCACTCCACATTCATACCCCAAACATACTGCACCAGAGTCTGAAGGTCAGAGCAAAGTCCCAATGGCCAGTCGAGGTTCGGTCCAATCACAAGGCGTGGCAAGCCGACACCGCCCCTCTTCAAAATTGGGGCTTTGGATCGATGTCTGACTCCAAATTTCAGATCTGTCAGGCAACCATTTATAGACCAGTCCATCACGTCATCTGCTCTTTGTCTCCATTCGCTAGGCCTTTCACCCACAACTCAGAGAAAGCAGCCCCAGGGAGGCTGCCATAATCCAAGCAGCCCCGGGGAGGCTGCGTTCCATTTCCCCCGTTTTTATCCACAGCTGTAACAGATACAATACCACCAATGTTATTCCCTTTTCTGCTGGTTTTGTATGTTTCCCATGGACACAACAAGGCTGTTTTGCAAGAACAGTCCTTGACTGCTTAAAACCTTAAATCCTCGCTTCAGTTGCCAGCATGCAACTCACATACTCATGTCAAACACACTTCATTCACACTAGGCCTCAACAGCCCATAACATATTGCATTATATATAGTGTAGATATAACCCAACAGCTGGAGCTGGGGCTATGTCCCTCCTACCTTGCAGCTGTGCCCTGGGCTATGCACCACCTCCAGCCCCTGCAACTGCGGCCAGGGCTGTGCCCCCCTCACCCCACCCTGCTCCTCCTCTCACACACACGGCTAGGGCCTGGGCTGTGCCAAAATCTTAATCTTAGCTATGTGGCATGAGAAGAATCTGCTGGCAACGTCCTCATTTGTAGCCTTTCACTCGGGGCCTGGAGCAATCACGGGTACCATGTAGCTCAGGGCATGGAGGGCAGCAGTGGGAGCAGAACCAAGGCCGTGCCATGGTCACTGGGAGACTGTACGGGCAGTAGAAAGCCAGGCGTGCCTGGGTGGGGTGGCTCCAGGCGGACACTTGCTAGAGCAGCAGTGGGGCAAAGGCACCTCAGGGCGAGTTCTGCTTCCAAGGGCTAGTAAAACAGTGCTGTTCAGTGAGAGAGCAGCTGCCTCCTCCCTAAAGTTAGCGGTGGTGGTGGGGGCACCCAGAGCTGGCAGGGCTCTGGGGAGGGGCGGGGGAGGTGCAGAAGCAGGCGGGATGCTGAACTGTGTCCCAGGATGCCTTGCTGTGAGGGTGCTGAGGTCACTAGCTCAGCTGAGGAAGGACGGAAAGCAGCCCTCTGTGCTCTCTGCACTCCCACAACTGAAAGAAGGCACCTGGGCTTTGGCATCCACACGAGCCGCGCGGCAGTCCATGGAGAACCAGAGCCTTGCAGAAAGCAGCCCGTCCCCAGTGCATCACTGCTGAGCCCCCAACTCCCCCAGTGTTGCTCCGGCCTGCAAACCTCGGCTGTGATCCAGAGCTGAGCTAATGCCCACTGGACAAGCCAGGCCACAGCGGGTCGGGGGCTGCGTGGATTAGGGTTACCATATTTCAACAATCAAAAAAGAGGACGGGAGGAACCCCGCCCTAGCCCTGCCCCCATCCTGCCCTAGCCCCGCCCCTGCCCCTTCCACTCCCTCCCACTTCCTGCCCCCTCAGAACTCCCAACCCTCCCCCCCATGCCTTGTCCCCTGACTGCCCCCTCCTGGGGCCCCTGCCCCTAACTGCCCCCCAGGACTCCACCCCCTACCTAAGCCTCCCTGCTCCCTGTCC